CCGGTTAGAAAAGCGAAGAGAATGATCTATACCGTACACGTAAGCAGAATTAACGGATAGATGATCGAGAAGAATAGATACTCCCAGTACTGTGTGTGTTTCATTATTCCAGACTACTCTCAGTTCTCTCACACAACTGCTTACACTTTTAAGTCCCATATCCATACATGAATATTTAACATTTTCCATAAATTAAAAATCGATTATTCAAGGGTTTTGTCAAAAGCCACAAGAAAGGTAATTTTTAGTTGATTATTCAAACCATATAACAAGCAAACTACTTACCATCTTGTTGATAATTTAGATTAAACTTTTAACCAATTTAGAAACATTGCAAATGAACTAGATTCTTTTTTTTTTTTTGATTAAACTGATTTGTTTACTAATGCTAATCGAAAGGAAACAAATCATTACAAATTGTTTTATCTATAAGAGACCATTTGGTTGTGTAAAAAAACCTATAGATCACCTAGTAGGCTAATAGTATAATAGAACAGTATTAATCATTAGACCAACTATCAAACCTAACAGCTGTACAACAAAGTGCAGTGCAGACTCTCGAGTCACAGAACTATGTAACAATTATATGAGTGAGCGACTGTACGACAACGTTTTGGACTGAGCCATAGAGAGATTTTACTATCCTATTATTTACAAGGCAAAGAGTCCCTTGGAGTTGCCAAACAAGTGTTTGCGGCGGATGAGCTCCGGTTTTCTGGGACCGGTTAAGAGAAGACTGTTGAGCAGAGACGGAGGACCGGTGTATTTGGTTTGCTCCATTTCCTTCACTTTTATATACCCGTCGAGTCTCATCAACTCCAGAAGCTTTCTACAGCTCTGAGATTGAAAAAACAAACATAGAAAGTGTTATCAGAGACTGTTAGCAAAGCTTTAAGAGATTATAATCAGTTTCGGTATATGAAACCATAGGATAAAGAATTTATGGTACATAAGTATTGTATATTATTACCTGAGGATTGAGTACGTCCATTAGGTTTATGATCTCGTCCTGCCACAAAAATGAAATGTCTCTGATTAGTATTTTCAGTTAGCTAAGTAACTGATTAGTGACACTTGTTAAGGTGAAAATGGAAAAGTATTTACCTCTGTTATACCGGGATTTTGCATCACGGTGCCAAGAACACGGCGAAGAAGTCCATCAAAGACAACTTTATTCAATGATCCATCAGCGTTCATCCATGGAAATATAGGCACAGGTGACTTCTCAGAAGTTGATTCCTTTGTTTCACCTTCGATACCCGTTCCAAGAGTAACAGATGGAGCTTCGATAGATGCTTCGTGCAAATCGCTTGTTTGAGCCACTTCAGGGAAGTTAAGAATTGTAACCTTGTGAACGCTGTTCCCAGTGACATGCTCTGCCTCTTCCTGTGAAGTACTGCAGCCGCTAGCAACAACATCGTTTGACCTATGTTCCCCAACAGCTCTCTCAAGGTAGTTCACTGGTAGAGTCTGTTGTTCTTTTCGGGAAGTTCCACCCTCCTCCAGTGTCAAGAAGTACTTTGATCGGTAGAAGGAATGGACAACATGGAAATTATTATAGCCATTTACCTGAATAAGATAGCATATGGTAATTTACTTGTAAAATGATGTAACATGGACAGAGTTGGCAGTCCAGGAAATTAAAACTAGTAAAGCCAAGCACAGCAACTTTCGTCATAATAAAGAGCAAAATGTTCGCAAGATAAGAGATAATAAGACAAAACCTTCAAAGCTATCCCAAATGTTTGAAGTACATCTACGATGCAATCACAAGTTTCCTTGCCTGCACATGAACAAGCAGAGGTTTAAAAACAACACTGAAGGAAGTAGTCAACACATGGAAAAGTATAAGCCTGCTAAAGAAGAGGTTGGCTGATGCTTACTTGGAATATCAATAAGACGGTGGAGTTCTTCAACGCTCAGACCTTGGTCACCAGCCTTCTGAAGGGCATTGGAAACGGTTTCAAAAACCCCGGGACTGAATAAACTCACTTGCTCGTCTGCAGATATGACATTAGCATCCGTAGAGTTGAAAAGTTCCTTCATATCATCAGAATCACAGCCAACATGCGTTCCTCCCGAGTTGAAAGGAAGTTGACCAGCGCAAGAGTCATCATCCTTAAACAACTCTACTGCGTTAGTTACACGCCGAACATATACCGCTATACCAGGGAAACCCTTCTCCTTTCGGAAATTAATTTCACCTTCGCCTAGTAGCTTTAATTTCTTAGCACTATCAGCTTCCAATTCTTCTATGTCATCAGCTCTACGTTTTAAACCTCTACGATCTCCAGACTCTCCAACACCTTCTTCTGGTAAGGATACAGATATAGAAAGTTCACCAGACGAAACCAATGAAAAGAAATTTAAAACATCGCCACATTGCAAATCTGAAGTAAGAGCGACTCCCCCAGCCATGAGGTCTCTTTCATGTTCGAGAAGCCAACTGGAGAACTTGGCTGCTCTTGTTCCAGTATTAACCGGGAATGGAGACTTTGAAATACTATGCAAGAAGTTCTGAGAAAGCACAAATGGCTGTTCACCACTTCCACCAACCTGGAAGGTTTTCATAAAAAAATGACCTTCAGTTTACTTTTACAAATTCAATTAAATTCATCAAAAAAAAAAAAAATTGATTCAAGTCCACTACAAGCATGCCAAAACGTGGTTTTAAACAGCAACACGAGCCAACAAAAGGAAGAAAATATGATATTTCAACTTTAAACATGCTACAGTATTGAATAGAGATACACATATGCCTCTTCATAAAGGCAGAAGTCAACAATTTTAACACTGTAACAGGATAGTAATTTACGTGCTTACCAGGAACTTTTTGTCTCGAAGGTAGCTATAGGCTGTAAAGAGGTCTCGTTCTGAATATCGTCGTAAGGTATCTTCCAGCAAATTTGGCATACCAGGTGCAGTAGGCATGCTCAGAAAGACAAGCTTTAACAGTTCTACAGCAGTAGAAACCGCCAGCGATTTCCGTACTTGTATACTACCACAGTCTTTTTCAGCTAAAGGCTTAAAATTTTTATGAAGACGATAATGTCCAGATCTTCGAGATGTATCTTTAGCTTGATCCACAGAAACATTTTGACTGTCCTCTGAATGAATTGCAGGTGGAACCATTTCACTCTCCTGCAAGTCCACAATTTTAGTTTATCATAAATTGCCAAAAGTGAAAAACCATTGAAATTAAGACCTTCCAGATCAGGGTGAATGTGGTGGCACAGTTTTCCCGTAAACTAAATCTATGAAAAATTGTAGCAATAAAAGTGAAACTTCAAAGTGGGGTGAGGAAACTGTAGGCATGGTGTCAAACGAAAGAAAAGTAAGCAATAAGGATGCACCTCATCAACTAGATCTCTGTTTGACCATTCCCTAGAGCCAGGTCTGGTCCGTTTAGGGGCCACCAGTTTAGCTATCTTCTTGAGCTCAAGAACATCATTAAAGGCTTGACTTATACTCTTTTCATTGAAGTCAACCCATTTCTCTTCATCAAAACTAATTTCTTTCCCATGCTCAACACAACCGGAATCCGTTCCGCCAATGGACTGGGATAAATATCTAACAAGAACATGTGAACTGTTGCTCCCGGGCAAATCCTTCTGTTTTGTCTCTAAATGTTTTGCATAACGCTCGCTGAGCAGATTGCAAAGCCTCATGAGCGCCTTCTGAAATTTATCATTCTTCATCAATATATGAACCCGTCGCTTGCAAGCTAAAGGAGGTGCAGGCAGTTCTGGAACTGAAGCCCAATTTGCTCCACGAAATTTTGCCCCATTTGCTGCACGGTATCTAACATATTGACGCAACAAAATCCTGACCAGAGAATACTTGTGTCAGAGGTGTAAATCAATCAGATATAGTACAATATTTTAGATAGAAGAGTGTTTAAAGAATGAACGAAAGAATACTCAATCATAGGCAAATTAACTGACGATAAAAGAAAATATAAGTTCATTGGAATTGGCTCAGTAAGGGAACTCCTGAGGTAGGGGCTATCCTACGAGGCATTCTATCCCTGAAGAGAGACTCCTAAAAACTAACATTACATTGGACGTTTACAACAAGAACAGATTTGATATATGATCAGCATTCATATAAACACATAAATATACTACTGAACTTTCATTGGCTGTGTCAAAGCTTACCTGTCCGCCTCATCTGTCCACAAAAATCTTTGTGAAGGAGTTGATGTGGTCTTTGAACTTGCATACCGGTTGATGATAGACGAACACTCGCCTTCATCTTCAGTAAGATCTCTGAACTCTGCATTTTCCTGTTGATTATGCTCTTGATGCATCGGAATGGGGGTTTGGTCCTCTTGTAATGAATTTAGAAAATTCTCATTACTTGAGGCATCAATGGCATCAAAATTTAGAACCTTCTGTCCATCTACTTTTATGGATCTGTCACTTTCTCCTGTTGTCTTTACGGGAGTTGCTCTTTTTCTTTTCCTGGAAGATGGAGGGCCATTTTCTGCAGCATCTTTTTTATTTTTTGATTTTACGCGTCTTCCATGCTTGGCACGATAGACATGCATAACCTGGAGTACGCAACCAAAAATTATAAGATACCTCACCCAAAAAACAAGAGGAAAAATAGAGAGGTCAGTCTCTGTTTGTGGACCAGAAATGAGAAAGCTTTAAATCAGACTTCAATTAGCTATATGGTAAGTGTTTTCAAGCTGAAACATTGAAGAAATCTAGGTTCTCAGTCTCAAATATTTTTTTTCTCCAAATATTTAGGCAGGCGGCCTAGACAATATTAACAATATGAAGCCCCCCATACAAAACATATCTTTACCTGCTCCAAGGCCAGGTTCAGATCCTTAGCAATCTTCTCACACTCTTTGAATGAGAGTTTTTCCTTCTCATCGACTGCAAAATGCTGTAAGAGTTTAGCACGCTGTTCTGCTGTCATGACTTGATCTGAGGCCCATGAGCGGAAACAAAAAACCTAGAAGAATTAACTGTTTAGAAACCGTTTTCTGAATACCTAACCTAACTATTATCAGCACACGAGAAAATAGCGGACAGTGATATAAGATTAACACGCATACACATTTTAAGTGCGTTATAATGGAAAAAATTCTAAAGCTCATATTGTTGTATTATATAATAAGCGATGATAATAAAGGCCAAGCTTATACCTCTTGAACAACAGATCCCGGAAATGCTTGCTTTGCAGCTCTGTGATCAGCAGCAGCATAGCAATATTCTAAAGTTAGCCAATATTCATCAACAGCATCCCTATTTGATAGAATAAAGTCATGCCGAATACGTGGACGAAAATCAAGAGACATGACACTAGATGTAGCAGCAACAAACACAGGTTCTTCTATATAAAGCGTAAGCTCCATAGCATGTGTCAAATTGGCATACTTCTCCTCAATTTCGTCGAGTCTGAATCTACTACTTACCATCTGAATCAACTACAAAATAAAAACAGGCATAGGCAGTAGAACTATTATTTTTTTTGAACTGCACGCTTTTATGAAACATGTACTGCTATATGGTACTTGAGGTGCCATTTTATTACCAATATTACCTTCAACCGGCGTAAAATGTCAATTAGCATTGATAATCTTCCAGTCGCAAGAGTATCCATTAGAAGCTTATACTCTTCGCTAGGAAGCTCAGAAAGACGCATAACCTGTTTGCATTTCTTCATCATATCATCAGCTTTCTGAGTAGTTCCAACAACTTGTAAAAAAAGTTCGAGTGGCATGGCTCTAAAAGCATCTTCAAGTGCAAACAAATTCTCAAATTTATGATCATGTGTAGAAGAAAAAGCATTGTTCCAGCCAGGCAAAGAACTAAAATAGTCCCAAAGGAAACAATGCAGGAGCTTCACACGAACCATCTTTGCAAGCACAAATCCATTGGCTCGCATGGCTCCAGATTTCCTAGTTCGCGCTTCCAAATCTACATTGGTTTTACCTCTCTGAACGTCATTCAATATTGGAATTGGCTCGTTGCTTTTTCTCTTTGACAAATTCTGGCCACGGAGTCCAAGTTCAAAAGACCTAATCCTATCATGAATTTCACCAACTACGTCTGGAGCCAGTCTTTGAACAGATGGATGCAAAACTATCACAGATTTACGAGTACTACCACAATCCGTTACATTTGGGACACTAACGGGCATGCACTTGCAGAGTCCTTCTACTTGAAGCCTGTTTAGAATTCTGTCAATGGTTTTTCTATCCACCTTAGAGCTCCTCTCCTTCTCAAGACTGAGAAGCCATTTATGTAGCTCGGCTCTCAAAACAAACTTCTCCTCCTTTGGCAAGCCAAGAAAGAAGAAACAGTTAGTCAGTTGGGAGGGAAAAAGGAGAAAAAAAATTGCATGCAACGAAGAAAAACGAGAACAGTAAATACATTTAAGCGCTCAAGTATTCTCCGCTCCCTTCGAGCGTTTTCCACAGTAATCGGATGAGGTTGATGCACTTTTGGTTTAGCCGTCTTCGGTTGAACAAGATGGTTCATTTCTGCCAAAGCCAAATCAGGGGACCCTGTTGCAGCATCAACAACCTTATCACCGATCTCATGGAATGATTCTTGTAAGTTACGACGAGTAAGCACATTTCTCCTTTTGGCATTAGATGGGGAACAATCGAGAACTCCTGAATTGCTTTCAGAATCAGTTGACCTTGCAGGTGTAGGAAAGTCAGCATCAGAAACTGCAAGACTGTGTTCTATGGAGTTCTGAGCCAATCCACCAGTATCATGAGGTGTGCCAAAATTATTAATCGGTACATTATTTGCCTTGCTAAGCTTTCCAGCTTTATCAGGAAACAGATTAGAACACTCAGACCCAGCATGACGAGAAGTCCAAACTCGAAATACTCTAGTCTTCTTGTGGCTTTCTGCCTGTAAATGCATCCCGACTCTTGAACAAATACTAAGAAGCCGAGAATAGCTCTTCTTCTTATCAATTCCAAGCCTTTGACATACCTGGTAAGGATAATAATTTAAAATGCATTACAGCCTACCAAAAAGATAACGAACTTTCAAGTAAGTAGCTTTCTCCGAAATACTGTAAGCCAAACCCATCAAATGAATACCTCCATCACCGCCAAGCCTTTACATCCTTCAGCATCAACCATATCATAAATTTGATAATCTATTGGAAGCTCCAAAGTTTGTTCTGTTTTTTGAATACTCCTTCTGAATTTTAGGAGTTGCTTTTTCCCTGTGTAGTTAAAATCTTTTGCTGAAAATCTTTTTAGCAAGCGGAAGCATCGTTCAACCTGCAGAAAGGACAATCCACATGAAAATCTGTATTATATCCAAACCAAATATAACAGAATATGCTAAAAGCGGCAATAGGCCAGCATATGTAGTGAAATGTCTTTGAATGATGGCAGAGATGCAGATTATACTTCACCTTGTTGTTCACCACAGCATCGAACTCCTCTACTACACGAGAATCAGTTAATCGGCGACAAACCTGATGTTATCCCATAAGAAGATTAATTCAGAATGTTATAGTTCAACATGAATTAAGTTCTAAAATCTATATCTATACGCCCCAACCAG